GGTCTTGAAAACTTAATTAAGATAGACGTTCATGACCGATTGGCGCTTATCCTCAGTAAACGGAGAATATAAAGCTGCATTAAAGGCTACAAACAATATAGAACCCCCTGCAGTAGGATTTGTCAATCCTGCTGATACAAAACAAAGTAGCGCAGCCGCTTTTGGAACCATCATTAAACAAAATAATACAATTATCCAGTTGCTATTAACAATCACAGAAAAGGTTCGAGATCTTGAAGAGAAGGTCCAAAAATTACAGCAAAAACCTTTAACTGTTCCATCTGAAACATTTGAATCCTCTCTATCTGCTCTTCAGAACCAACTCGAGAATCTGACGATTGGTGAACCAACCACTACCTCTAAGGTAATCAAACCTAAGGGGCCACTCTTCGTGTTCACTGATCCTAAAAAGATTTTCCAAACAGAAAAAGCAAAAACCTGATGGCTACCTCAAGCAGAACAGCAACAGCGACTCTCCAACCATCTCACTCACTCCGATCATCCGAGCCAGACACATCACACACGGTAGATGATCAAATCCAAGGATACAAACTAAGATCACGAATTGCACATGAAATCCAACGAAGACTCCCGCGACGACATCGAGGACAAAGACAACTAGAAAGCCAACTGGATCCTGAAGCAAAACTACAAATCTCTCAACGACAAAGAGCCAATTTAGTTCCAGCAGAGACACTATACGAAGACGGCTGGTCTGCCTCCCGTCATCGTGTATATCAACACTATGCTGAGGAACGCATCTTAGCAATTGAAGGGATGCAAGTCAATCTCCCTTTTATCCGACATCAATCCTACCAGAGACTCGTATCTGAAGGTATGCAACATATCCATCTTGGTCTCATCATGGTCCGCATTCAAGCTCTACACCGACGAGACGCTGGCACAGCAGCCCTAATTGTCCTTCGAGACACAAGGTGGCGCTCTGATGTTTCCATCATCGGCACCATGGAAATTGACCTCTCATCCGGAACACAACTCGTGTATATTGCCCCTAATCTCATGCTATCCATACACGATTTCCTCAATCATATTGAACTAGTGGTCCTCACTCATGGCTATGAACTATGGCAAGGAGGTGAGTCAAATCTCCTACTCACAAGAGCTCTTGTAGCACGATTAACAAATACCAGTCATGCTGGTTTTCGGTACAATGTTGCTGGTGTGGCTGACTATCTGGCATCACATGGAATTTCTGCCATCCCTGGCCAAAGGCATACTATAGCAGATCTCCAAGGTCGGACCTGGAATCTAAATCCATCCGATCAAACCGCCCTCCAAGTTCCTCGATCTCTAATCACCCATCAACGACTGGATGGCTCACTTCATCTCTCATTCTCAAGTTACATGCCAACACAGCCTCCACCACCTGACTCTCCCTTACCAGAGGATGAGTTAGTGGAACATTTGTATATGGCTTACATCGCAGACGAAGCACCAATCTGGGATGCAACCGATCCATCCGACACCGATGATCCTAATGATCCCTTTTCTCTCTTCCTTTACTTAACGCAAACAACTACTGTTTGCCCGGAAGCGGGTGGGGAGGAAACACCTGGGGAGTTACCATACCCACTCCAGAGAGAAGACCCTAAACACAATGCACTCATCTACTTCAACCATCCAACTTGAATTCAACTAATAATATCCCCATCTATTTTACAATCATTTTGGATAATTGACCCGATATATCTAAAACGTGTACTCATACTAATGACTTGATCTCCCAAGTCACAATCCCACCATTATATCTATTAGTATTGAAATTATACTCCATGTATTCAGTATTAAATTTACTCAAAAACATTCAAACTCTATGGTTGACCTCCATAAATTAAGTTTTCCTTCTATTCCCTCTCTAATCTTACCAACAAGAAGAATAAATCATCTGCAAAAAGCATGCACTAGGGTACATCCTTTTGCAAATGTTTGGTAAAAACATTCAAGACTAAAGCAAATTGATATAAGCTTATAGCTAATCCTTGTGTAACCTAACTGAAATAGGAAAATACTTGGTCAAACCACCTTATGTTTGAACACCATGACAACTCCTACATCCTTAATCACTTGAATATAAATATTATTAACTCTTTTCTTTTATAGAACTCTCCAGAGCACTTCTCTAGGAACTTTAGCATATGCTTTCTCCAAATCAATAAATATCATATATAGATCCTCCTTATTCTGTGAGTATATCATATATAGATCCTCCTTATTCTGTGAGTACTTCTCCATCAAACCTCTCATAGTAGACCTACCCAACATAAATCCAATTTGATTTTGAGAAACATTAGTATCACAACGTAACCTATGCCAAATAACTATATCTTGTAATTTTAATATATGAAGCATTAACTTAATTCATCTATAATTCGCACACTCCTGTGCATCACCTTTACTCATAAAAATAAGAATCAACACACTCATTCTCCAATCATCTAGCATTTTACTAATCTTCAAAATAATATTAAAATTTTTTGTGAGACAAAAATACCTTCATCACTTAAGCATTTACACGCCTCTATTAGAATATCATCAAGTCTAACAACTTTTTACACTTCATTTTTCTTTAAAGCTTGTCTAACTTTAGATTTACTAATATGATGATAAAAACAAAATTCTATTTTTTTTATTTAGGTTGCTAAGGTCACTAAATCAATCATATTCTCACAATCTTCATTGAAGACTTATCAAAATATCTCATCCATCTTTATTGAATATCCTCCTCTAATATAAATATTTTTTTATCTTTATCCTTAATACATTTCACTGGAACTAAATCCTTAGTTCTCATATCTCTTTGTTTGGCTAACTTAAACATATATCTTTCGCTACCTTAATAATATAATTTATTATATAAAGAAATTTAAATTGTATTTATTGAGATAATAATGAAAAATAAGTATTTCATTATCAATTATTAATACCAACTAATAATAGTAACATCATAATAAATTAAACTATTAAATAAATTTTAAATTGTCCTTTTTTTGCGTGTAAGTGAGGAATAGAACAACAACAACATCAACATCAAGCCTTTGTCCCACTACGTGGGGTCGGCTACATGAATTCTTTTCACCACTGTGACATGTTAAAAGTCAAATTATCATTTAAATCTAATAAAAAAGATCATTTTTAATATTTTTTAACCAAGTCTTTTTAGGTTTACCTCTACCTTTCTTCACATAAGTCAAATCTAATATCTCAACTTTCCTAACCAGTTTATCAGAAGGCCTCCGTTTAATGTTACCAAACCATCTAAGGAGACTCTCTTTAATCTTATCTTCCACTTGGGCTACTCCAACATTTCACATATATGCTCATTTTGTATCCTATCTCTAAAGGTAAAGCCACTCATCCACCTAAGCATCCTCATCTCCGCAACACTTAACTTAGTATTATGCTTCTCTTTTAATGGCCAACATTCGGCACCATAAAGCATTGCAGGTCTCACCACCATCTTATAGAATTTTCCCTTAAGTTTGAGGGAGACTTTTCTATCGCACAACAAGCCCGATGCATTCCTCCACTTCAAAAAATCAACTTGAATCTTGCTGATAATATCCCCATCTATTTCACCATCACTCTGAACAATAGATCCAAGGATTCTAAAATGTGTACTCTTATTAATAACTTGATCGCCCAAAGTCACAATCCCCTCACTAGGTATATTGCTACTAAAATTACACTCCATATATTCAATTTTAGATCTACTCAAGAGAAAACCTTTAGACTCTAAGGTTGACCTCCATAATTCAAGTTTTACCTTCAACTCCCTCTCTAGTCTTATCAACAAGAAGAATATCATTAGCAAAAAGCATACACCAAGGTACATCCTCTTGCAAATGTCTAGTTAGAGCATCCATAACTAAAGCAAAAAGATATGGACTTAAGGCTAATCCTTGATGTAATCCAACCGAAATAGGAAAATACTTTGGTCAAACCACCATGTCTTTGAACATAAGTAATAGCTCCTGCATACATATCTTTAATGATTTGAATATAAGCGTTATTAACTTCTTTTCAAGAACTCTCAATAGCACTTCTCTTAGAACTTTATCATATGCTTTCTCTAAATCAATAAATATCATATGTAGATCCTCCTTATTCTCTCTATATTTCTCCATCAAACCTCTTAATAAATGTATGGCTTCCATAGTAGACCTACCCGGCATGAATCATGTTCGTATAAAACAAGTTGTCATCAACAGAAATATCTCTGCTTAAATTTGACTTCTCATAATGAGTTCTATCCCCTGCCAAATAGCATCAGAACACATTAGCACTTAGCAAGAACATCCAATGATTCATGCCACATTGATTTATGTTCATTTATATGTAAGAGTACATATATTGGAGTACTTAACCATCTGATCCATAAACAGCACTTGTAAATATATTGTATCTTGCTCATACATGGCACTAGAAACATGGTCATGAATTAATTAAAAAGATTTAGGTAGAGGAAATTAAACGCCAATAGCACCTATTGAAAGGAATCAATTGAGAATAGAAGAATAGATTAACCCTAATTGTTGGATAAGGCATCAAAAGGTGATCAGAAAGATGATAGGATGAAATCCTGTTATCTTCTAATAACATCATATTTGCATGAGATTTTGAATAATCTGTTTGCACCACAAGCAAAAGCTTTTGGTCATACACAACATAGAACCACTTGAGTAGCTGCCTTACTACAGATTTTTAAAACATACTACTATGTAGGACATTTTTATTACCAAACATATTAGGGAAAAAAAACTTGGGAGGTTTTAGAGTTTCAAAATAATAGGGAATAAAAATGTATCATAGTTTACATAACGCTAACCTAGATTACAGTGTGTATACTAATTTATATAATTCTGCAACAGGATATTATTGAATAGTGTTTCGAATCTCCTGTTTCTATATATGTGATATACATATAGAGAGAGAGAGAGAGAGAGAGAGAGAGAGAGCATCAACGGGATATAAGTGAGTACCTCCACTCTTTTGATATTCAGATATTTGAGAATTGATTTCCTGAAGGGACTGGCAGCACAAATAAAGTTACAAGTTTAGAAAGCATACCAAAATAAATAAGACAAATTAAAATTCAGCTAAAGTTCAGCTGCATTAAAAATTTTACCTCTCGAAGAGCAACTTTCCGGTCTTCAATAGGGAATATGTCCACCAAGCCATAAGAGGTATCACATAAACATTGAACAAACTCTAGCGAGGCATGATATGCTCCTTTCCGGATTTGTGAAATCAAATGATCTGGTATAGGAGGCTTTGTGGATGATCTTTCCAACCGTTGCCTCGGTGAGCCAGGGCGTAATTGCTAAGCACAAGTGAACAATGAAAAAGAGAAAATAAATAGATATATTTTGAAACAACTGCGTCAAATATATTTTGATACAACTGCGCAGTTTGACGAAAACCAAGTGAACTTGGCTGGATTATTTAATCACACTTCAACGGATATTAAAGGTGGAGATATTATCAACCCACTAATTCTGAAACAAGAATGTAAAGCCATTAGTACACAAAATAGGCACATAAAAGACTAACCATCAGTTACCAATGGAATACAGTGGCATGAATAATTGATTGGTTTTGTCTATTCTCACAGTTAAAGGAGTTCATCAAGCAAGTTTGGCAGTTACTACAACAGAAAGGTCTGACTCGATGGATCGCATTTGAAGTATATTATAGCTCTAAAATGCTAGAATAGTTTGCATAATTCTGTGGAAGCATATGGGGGGGTGCATTTTCAATTTTTCACATATCAAGCCCTTTATGATATAAAAGCATACTATATCAGGCCCTTTAATCTATTGCACTAAAACAGGCCTGAATGACACCATTGGAACTCTTAATTTCCTCTTGAGAATGTTTGATAAGTTGCAGAACAAACTTGGGTCTATAATTAAAGTAGCATTATATGCAATGACTGCACGCTCACTTGCGAAGTTAAAGTGCAGAAAGATAGCACAATGAGGTACAGAATCTAGCATTATGACTGAAGATGACATTATTCATATTTTGCCCATTTTGCTACAAAACTCGCACTAAATACTGCAGTTTGAGTAAAAGCATACTAAATAGCCCTAAAGCTTTAAAGCACATGCTCTGCTTCCTAGGAACAAAGCTCAATATCCAGTTATGTAAATCCTCTGCATTATTGGATATAAAGATGAACATGATGGTGGTCATCACTATTTTGAGGATCGTTAGTGCATCAAAGGATGCATATCAAGGAGCACCATAGGAAATTGATAAAAAAAAACACTCATTTGAATCAACTCACCAATGAAAAATCAAAAGCTAAGACAAGGAAAGCAATAGAGCATCTAATTCTAATAGTCAGATAAAAAGTTAATTGGGCCAGACTATTTCAGAGAACAGACTGCCATCATAAAGAATCGATTGGCAAAACACTGTAATAGCATAATAGGCCATGCATACCTCTCTCGGTTTTCTAGAACCAAAAAGCTCAGAATCTTCAATAGACCGATCTCGATCACGAAACAACCTCCGAAAAAAGTTCTCGGTTCCAGGACTACTATCAAATGAACTATCAGGGTTAATACTCATTGAAGCATTCTTATTATCTTCAGGATGCACCCTAAATAACCTGCGAAAGGACAAAAATTCAGAACTCTCCTCTTCCTCAAAAGAGCCACTAGTCTGGTTCTCCTCTTGTTTTCTATCATGACCCTCATCTTTCTTGTCTTCATGTTTTTCCTTGAAAAGCCTGCGAAAGAACCCTTCCTTTTCAACATCGTCATCAATAGTACTCTTCACTTTGTCTGCCTCCTCAATCCGCTCATGCCCAGAAGCTTTTTTTTCATCATGCTTGTCCTTAAAAATTCGATGGAAAAAACTATCCTTTTCATCTTCATCATTATTCTTGCTGGACCTTTCTTCATTCTCGTTCCTTTCAAGACCAGAGACCTTTTTTTCTTCACTTTTTTCCTTGAATATTCTGCGGAAGAAACCATCCTTATCATCATCATCCGTACATCTGCTAAGCCTTTCTTCATCTAAATTCCGCTCATGTCCAGCAACCCTCCTTTCATCATGTTTTTCCTTGAAAATTCTGCGCAAGAAGCCATCTTTCTCATCATCCTCAATACTCCTGCTAAGTCTTTCTTCATCACCAGTCCTCTCAAGCACAGAATCTCTTTTCTCTTCATTCTTATCCTTGAAAATTCTGCGAAAGAATCCATCCTTTTCATCATCCACGCTATTCCTGCTAAGCTTTTCTATATCATCATTCCTAGAATGCCCAGAAATTCTTTTTTCTTCGTTCTTGTCCTTAAACATTCTGCGAAAAAAACCATCCTTCTCGTCATCGTCAACACTTTTGCTCACTCTTTCTTCATCCCTGTTCTTAGCATTCACAGCAGCACTTCTTTCTTCATTCTTATCCTTAAATATTCTCCGGAAAAAACCATCCTTATCATCATCCTCAGCTGTCCTGTTGCTCCGCACTTCCTCATTTCTCAAACCACTATCCTTCTTCTCCTCAGTCTTCAAAAGCCTACGAAAAAATCCTTCCTTCTCATCTTCATCAACACCCCCATTGGTCCTATCTACTCCATCACGACTATCATGAGAACTATCTGCTTTCTCATCATTTTTCTCTTTAAAAAGTCTCCTAAACAAACTCTCCTTCTCGTCTTCCTCCATATTCCCATTGCAGGTATCTTCTTCCCCATGCTTGCAGTGCTCGCCATCTTTCCTTTCTTCATTCTTATCCTTGAAAATCCTACGAAAAAAACCATCCACCTCCACTTCTTCCCCCGATTTACCTTCTCCTACTTTCCCTTCTCCTGGTTTACCATCCTTATCGCGAAACAATCTCTTGAGGAAACCCTCTGAACTGGATGTCAGCTCCTCATCCTTCTCCCTGCTGAGCAGCCGACGAAGAAAACCATCTTTGTCCGCCTCATACTCCTTCTCCTTACTGTCCCTGAGAAGCCTGCGGAAAAACCCATCTTTATCGGTTTCCTCCTCTTGCTTCTCAGCGGACTTCCTAAAAGAGAATGCCTCACGAACCTTCGGCCCCGGCAAAAGCTTCTTTAACAGCTTGCCCTCTTCAGAGGATGTCAATACCTTGCCATTACAGTCATGTCCAGCGCTCCCGTTATTGCAATTCCCCTCAATTGGAGAACTTGAACCCAGTGCCGGCGTTGAGGCGACCGAAGGTGATCGCTGCTTGGAGGACAGTATCCGGTTGAGTTTAGGGTTTCCCTTGAGGTTCGAGGAGGATCCAGGAGGCTGGCGGATAAGTGGAGGCCAATCCCCCATCAGGGTGGCGGCAATCTGGCACTTCTCCTGGATCCTGCTGATGCCCTCGCTGTCCTCGGAATCCTCAAGCTCCGCCATCAGAAACCAGTGCACTTTGAGGGCGATCCGCAACGATTTCGAGCACGTATCGATGACGAATTTGTCGAGAGATGGACTCGGCTTGTGAACCAGCATGTAGCAGATCTGGAAGAGGTAATTTTCAAGGCCGACGAGCGGCAGCGTGTACATCCTGTTGCAAAGGTAATCCCGGACCCCAGGGTGCTCGTGCTTGTAGAGATAGCTGACAGCGATCCACTCGCAGAAGAAGGCCGAGTCGAAAAACCGAATAAGCCACCCATTCTCCCCACTCCCTCCCTCACCAACGACAGGATTAGTGCGGGTAATCTCCCGCGGTGGGTCGTCGCCTACGAAGCGGCTCAATCCGAGAAGCCGCACCATGGTCAATCAGCCATCGGAGGCCCAGTCACCCTGGGAGGCAGACCTAGAATCGGCCCCGAACCCCCCAGGGCCCAAACCAATTCCGACAAGATCCGGCACAGAATCGGCGACAGTAAAGCCTAGGAAACACCTGCTCACCGCCGCGTTGAAGCCCTAATTAGGGCTATCCGCGGAACGAGCTGACAACAATTACCGAGAGATAGATGAATCGGCGAAATAGGGGGGGGGCAACAGCGTGGAGCTGAAGAGAATTTGGATTAGGGTTTTCCCTTATCTGTCCTCGGTGACGCCTTTCTATTTCTCTCCTTGTTGTTTTCAAATCTCCGCCATCATCGTCGTCGGCAGGGGAAGAGTTAGCATCATAGCAAGGAGCGCAATGCGTGAGAGGGCAGCCTTACAGGTTTGCTCCACTGGCCATCGGAACGAAATACTACGACCGCGCCTCGTTGGGCGCCACCTGGCATCAATATTGTCGCCAGGAGGACCTTTTAGACGGCTCGCAGTGAATGCTGGTACAGGCAATATAGTGCCGTCTGATTAGGATCCAACGGGTGCTTGAAATTTTATTAGAGGATCTCGGCCTTTGATTTTACAGCCGACGGATGATTGGCAAAGCACGTTCGTGTTAGGTGGCTTTTTTCGGTCAACAATATCGAATTGCTTGCAAGACATGATTGGAAGCTTACTTAGATTGTGAGTTTTATATATATGATATATGTATGAATTTATTTTAGGCTTTATTTAGGATGACTTTTTATTGTTTGTTAAAGTAGCTTTTAGTATAAAAAATTTAATTTTTATATTAAAAAGCTACTTTAAGAAACAGTAAAAAAATCATCCCAAATAAAATCTCAATAGGTCTATATGTCCCAAAAAAATATTAATCGAATTAAATAGATCAATTTGAGCCCTTCTAATTTAAAATTTTATGCAGCTCATCTTGATCTATTGGTTAGGAGCTTTGACTACCGACTAAAAGGTCTTGGGTTCGAGTCATACGTATGTGATGTGTATATGAATTTGTCTTAATTGATTTAAATGACCCAAAAAAAATTGCTTGCAAGGAAGCATGGATTCGTTGTTGCCTCAATAGGTGTGTGTTCAGCACTTCAGCCCATCCAACAAATGTGTAGGTTAAAATCATTTGTTAATTTTTTAAGTAATAAAAGATAAATGATAAAGTATAAGATTTTTTTTTTAAATAATAAATTTTACATAGGGAAATTTAATTTAATATTTTCATAATATCAACATTTTGAAAAATATATCTGATAATTTCGTTTGGACCAAAATATCTTCGTAAGTCAAAGAGATACTAATTTATATAAGCACCATTTTGCATAAGAAATTAATCAACATATTGGATTCTTAGCGATTTCTTCATCTCGAATGATGTTTTGAGGTTTCCAATGGAAGTTTTTCATCTCCTTGTCAACTTTGAATGTTGGATAGAACCTATTTTAACTTTGATCAAAGAAATCATCACATGATCTGATATTATTTGAAGCTTTTAACATTTCCCTAAACCCTAAAGGGTTTGAAGATAGTTTGATTAAGGTTCATAAAATCTCAATCAATGTTAGAACATTATTTAAATAACTTCTAGTAGGGTTGATTAAGTTTTGCTCGTATCTTTAATGAAACTCCAATTTATTATTTTGCACTCTATTTTTTTTATTTTTTAATTAATTCATTTGAGTTGTTTTATTATGCATGCAGATGTATATTGAGACATATAGAGATGGATGTATGATGGATAAAATTATTAGGCATTTTAAGCTATTTAAGACTATGACATCATTATATTGAATATGAGGGACAATCAAATAACATCTAAATATGCATATGATAATTATACTTGTTGATAGGCATTGCGCTGTTTTTAGGGGCTGTTTGGTTGGCTGTAAAGTGAATACTTTGAGGTTGTCTAAAAAGTCAATGTAGTGAAACTATTTTTTCTATTTGGTTGGATGTATGCAAAGTAAAATAAAATCAGTGCATTTTGAATACTTGAAGGTCGTTTGGTTTAGCGACTAAAAAGTATAGTAAAAATATTCTAATTTGATTAAATATTTTGAGTCCACTTTAATAATTATAATTGTATCAGATTTTGAAAATGTTTATATATATTAATAAAATACTTTATTAGATTAACTATCATGAATCTGCACTTTTCAGTAGATTAGCAATATATCAATTGAAAATACTTTTCTATATGAAATCTATAGCATACCAATTCTTTGAGTTCAATGAAGCTCAATAGAGTTTGGTTAAAAGCTATAACTAAAAATCCCAAAATATTAACAATATCAAACCATAGTCTCAAAACTCAATATACTTTATAAAAACTATAACAATATTGTTGGCATTCACAAGATGTCTTTTTCATTAATTCTTCTTGTATATGTTATTATCAACCACCTAAGCTCTCATGTTAAAAATATCTACAATTATAAGACAATAATCAAACTGATGAAATTGATAAAGAATGAAAACCAGTGCAAAGTTCTAAAGCCTCATCATACCAATTTTTTTCTTCTGAAGCAAAGCAGACATTTGTTTAACTTCTTAAGCATCCATCAAGCCTATGATTGTATGGCTTTGGAGAGGAAGGAATGAATTATTGTTCTGTTATTGGATAAGTTATCATATAAAGCATCAATCTTATCATGCCCCAAGATCTAAAATGGAAGAATTACCTTTCGTTTTCCTTTATTCAAAAGTCTGGTGTTTCTTCTGCTTCCTCTTCAGAAAACTTCTGAATTGTCTAGTCATCAATGCGATGTCTTCTTCATCCTCAGGTTGTGAGTGTTCACTCTCTGACTCTTCCACATTCAGTGCTATGTTCTTCTCCCTTTGTGGTTCACCTGCATCAATCTTTCTTTGGCTAACTCCTTGCTCGGAAGCAATAAGCGAACCAAGAAGATTATCAATAGAATAAATGTTTAAATCCTTAGACTCTGTAATTGCAGTAATTTTAGCATCATATACAGTAGGTAAGCAACGAAGAATCTTATTTACCATTTCAGCATTTGTTAACTCTCTAACCAATGCATGCAAAGAGGTGACTATTTGTGTGAATCTTGTGTACATATCAGAAAAAGATTCATTTGATTTCATGCGAAATAATTCATAATCATGCAACAAGATATTGAGTCTAGATTGTTTAACCTCATTAGTCCCCTCATATGTTATACAAAGTCTATCTCATATGTCCTTTCCACTTTTGCAAGTCGAAACCCGCATATAGTCTTCTAATTTTAAAGCACAAAAGAAACTATTCAAGCATTTGGCGTTTAGTTGTGCTAAGTCACGTTCTTCTACTGTCCAGTCTGCAAAAGGTGTTTCAACTCTAACTCCATCAACTAATCTAGCTGGTTTTGTATATCCTTCCTGGACTAAGATCCACATACGATAATCAAGTGACTGTAAGAAAGTAAACATGCGAATATAAAGGTATATTGTCAAACAGTGGAGGTCTAGTAATAGAGTAACCCTCATGTGTGTTTCGATTTCCAAATGTAGCCATTTACGTTAATAAAAAGTAGTCTAAACTTATGATTTTGAAATAAAGCTCTGATACCACATGTTGAGATTCATTCACTATGAATTAGGTTGTTAAACCTAAGCTTATGTCTCAAGGCTATCTAAGAAGGGGGGTGAATTGGTATTTTTAAAAAATTATCCATCTTGAGTATGCTGAACCGAAAATAAACTTTAATGAAATTTAAAAAAAAAGTTTTTCAACCACAATTTTTGGAACAAATACAAAATGCGGAAAATAAAAAGCAGTAAAAATAAAAGACACAAGATTTATAGTGGTTCAGTTTAAACCAGACCTACATCCACTCCCCGGAGGTACTCTCCGAGTATTGCACTAATACCAATAGTGTCTCTCCTTTTGCACCCACAGCAAGGCGGAGAAGCCTTTACAAACACTCTTTCCACCATTATCAAGTGCGGCAGAGAACCGTCATCCTTTTACACTATCCCCAGTGCTGGCAGAGAACCTTCGTCCTTTTACACTATCCCCAGTGTGGGCAGAGAACCCTTCGTCCTTTTACACTATCCCTAGTGTGGGCAAAATTCGGCTGTTCACACTCTCCTAGTGTGGGCAGAGAACCCTCCGTCTGTTTACACTTTCCAATTGTCGACAGAGAATCGAATCTCCTTGACAGATCTCCTCACAATAAATCTAGAAGGAAGAAAGAAAAGAGTGAAGTAATCCCAAATCACAAGTAAAGATTCTTACCTTTAAATACAAAGCGAAGCCTTCACGCTCCAATGGTATGAATTCTCCTATGAATGCTCTCTCATACTCTCTCCTTGACTCTTCTTTCAATAGGCACGAAGATCAATGAGCAAAAAGATTAGGTGGTAGTCTAAATTGGACTATATATAGGAGAGACAAGAAAAACTGTCCAAAACTATAAATTTTTCAAGTCAACACGAAATGAATCGTCCCGTAAGATCGTGGATCGTCTTGGACGATTTTACTTAAAGTATCAGAAATGATCCTAATGAATATTGGTACGAACTATGTTCGTACACGATCATCGTCCCGTATGAACTAGGTTCGTCCGATACGATCTGTTATACCCTAGGTCGGTTTCCAAATAACTGCATGGACGTAACCAATTTTGGTAAGTCGGTTCACATCGTCTTGGGACGAATAGGACTTCGTCCGGATGAAATTTTTATAGAGAGCAACTTGTCCTGGCACGATAATGAACTTCATCTGAACGAAACTTTTACAAATAAGAATTCGTCCTAGGATGATTTGGATTTTGTCTGGATGAAATTTTTACAAAGAAGAAATCGTCCTGGTATAATTATAGATTTCGTTTGAACGAAATTTTTACAGAGCCTATTTCGTCCTGGGACGAAATTAATTTCGTCCTGGATGATCAGGACTTAGAAAAATTTCCTCCAGCTCCTGTTTGTTCCATTGCTCTTACGGGTAGAAAAACTGACCTGATCGTCCCGTACGAACCATGTTTGTCCCGTACGATCAGTACAAATTTATAAGATCTTCTTAAGTGTGTGTGTGTGTTTTTATTCACTCAATTATAATAACTCCCTCTCAATTCAAAGAACGATTTAAAGCTTCAATTTGCAAAGAATTGTATGCTGAATTTGATTTGAAGTCTTCATAGTTTAGAGTTCAATTTTCCTGAAATGTTAGTACACACAATAGCAAAAATAATTCTTTAAAAAAGTATTAGAAAATAATTACACATAAAATAATAATATTTGAAATTATCAAAATTATACAAGTTGCAAGAATGTAACATATGCAAATAACAACTCTCTTAACAATCTCTCCCTTTTTTATGATGGCAAAATAATTATTATTTGTAGGATTTCAATTTTAAGAATCTCCTAAACTCCCCCTGAATTGATGAATGCATGAAAATAAGGAGGCATTGATTCAAAAATTATTTTTGTTTTT